TAAAAAGATGACTTGTAACTTACCAAACAGCCGCTCAGCGACACACCCTCCCTGACTGCCAAGAACAACAACCCAGCCATTATCCAGGGCACTGCACCGGTGCTGTTTCCTCTCCTCCCTCCCACAGTGAAGGGCTGTGTTCGCTCTCCACTTCTGCCAGGCCACCTTGAAATGCTTCCTTTTTTGTTTTCACCTGTGACCTGTTGTGGCTCCTTTGCGCTGTCTGGGTGTCAGGTTCTCTCTCCCTTTCCCTGATAATGCTGTTGTGTTTCCAGAGACTGAATCAATACTCACTGTTGGCTGGGTGCAGCGGCTTACGTCTGTAATGCCGGCACTCTGGGAGGCCGAGGCAGGTGGATCCCTTGAGCTCAGGAGTTGGAAACCAGCATGAGCAAGAGCGAGACCCCATCTCTGCTGAACTAGAAAAAGTAGCTGGGTGTTGTGGCAGTCACCTGGAGTCCCAGCTACGCAGGAGGCTGAGGCAGGAGGATCCCTTAAGCCTAGGAGTCTGAGGTTGCTGAAGCCACAGCACTCTACCCAGGGAGACAAGAGTAAGACTATGTCTCAAAACAAAAACAGAAATTCCCCGTACAAAGGAGGGAGGCAATTGTTAACCTTTGTGTGGGGAAAGGAGTGAACACTTTGGAGGTTTTCAAAGTTGGGGGTCTTTCTCCACCCCAGGGCTTTGAGACTACCTCCTTGCTGCCAGACTCAAACAGTGCTCAGTCTCCACTTATGGAAGCATTTTGTTCTTTGAGGGTCCTCACTGCCCCCCCACCCCCAGTAGATAGGAAGCACTATAAGGGTGGGGTCTACCTCACTGGGGTGGATCTCCCCATACTTGTCCAGCAGTGGCCGGAGCCTGGCAAGCATTTGCTCAGTGGCCAGGCCTCGGCGTATGATTGATACGCTGGTTGACTTAGAAAATGCAGCTTTGGTTGGGCGTGGTGGCTCATGCCTATAGTCCCAGCACTCTGAGAGGCCGAGGCAGGTGGATTGCTTGAGCTCAGGAATTTGAGACCAGCCTGACCAAGAGCTCTACTGAAAATAGAAAAACTAGCTGGGCGTTGTGGTGGGTGTCTGTAGCCCCAGCTACTCAGGAGGCTGAGGCAGAAAGATTGCTCAAGCCCAAGAATTTGAGGTTGGTGTGAGCTGTGATGCCATCGCATTCTATCCCATGTCACAGAGTGAGACTCTGTCTCAAAGAAAAAGAAAAGCGCAGCTTCACAGCCCCTCAGGTGGGTCTGCTGCGCTTCCCTGGGTCTACTGTCCACGTGATGTTTTACTAATGAGATGACTGGCCTGGTGATCTTGGAGATTTGTTTTTGTTTTACTAAAATATATTGCAGTGTTATGCTGATTTGATAAGGGTCAGTCATTGAAAAGTCTCAAACATTCTTTACTGTCACTCAGACACCGCTGAGCCCTGCAACCCACTTGTACCATGAACCAGCAGCACTGGCCCCACCTAGGAGATGGTACAAAAGCAGAATTATCAGGACAGGGTCTTGGAGGTGTTGCGTCTGACTCTGTTACTGCTCCCTACTGTTGCCTTGGTTTGTAATCTTCTGAGAGGGACAGAAGACTGTTAAGAATGTCTCAGGTATCTACATGTGGATGATCCAGGGACAGTTTCTCTTTCCAGACTGGCTTGGTCTTTTGATTTTCCAAAAATCAAAGAAAATCGAACGAACAAGCCCATGGCCTGGAGGTGTGAAGGGGCCTGAGGACAGGTGTTCAGCAGAACCTGATTAAGAATTGACCCGCTTTGCCTAATCGGGTTTTTTGCTGTTAGTCACTTCACTCTTGGAATTCTCATGTATGTGCAGAGTGAGCCCCAGGATGTGTACCTGCTCCCGCTTGTCCGCAGCTGCCCACTCCGTGTTTTCACGGAGCCTTTGGTCAGTCCTCACAGGGAGCCATCCTGCCCCCCGTGGCCACACCAGGACAGCAGTGTCAGCTGTTTGCAGTCAGACCGCCTAGAGGTGATCTGCTTTAGGCCTCCACTGGGTAGAACATAAGGAGCAGGTCTAGGAAGGCGAGTACGCCGGCTGTGAGGTTGCAAGTTCCTGTTACACACTTCATAATGGGTGCTTTGCAGAGTCTTTGGATAGTTACTATTTAAAAATAAATGAAGACCAGACTATCTCATTTCCTTCTTCAGCCATGAGCCGTGCCCAGCTAACTGGATTGGAGAGAGCAGGGCAGGCAGGGAGATGCAGTACGTGTGTACGTTTCACCTGGAAATCGTCGCTGAAGCTTTCGAGTAGTTATTTTAAGGCCAGGCGAGGTGGCTCCCACTGGTAACCCCAGCACTTTGGGAGGTCAAGGTGGGAGGGTCACTTGAGCCCAGGAGTTGGAGGCTGCAGTGAGCTGTAGTGGCGCCTCTGCTGTTGAGCTTGGGGGACAGAGCAAAATCGGTCTCTTAAAAAAAAGAAAAGAAGACAAAAAGAGAATCAAAGTTATTTTAATCCACAGCAGCATTTTTTTACTTAGCCAGTAACACCAAAAATAAGATTGCTTTGGGGTTTTACACCAGTGGATAGAATGCTCCTGAGAGACGTGGCGGCCTGCTGGGAAGTCAGCATGCCTGAAACTGCTTCTCTGTGTTACCTGTGCACTGGCCCAGCAGCCCTCACCGGGACATTGCTGAAACAGAAAAGCTGCTGAGATGGGTTATAGTCGGAACGCCCCTCACGGGGCGTAGAAGAAGTTGAGGCTAGAGGCTCAAGACCCACTTTGCACTCTTCCCTGGAGTTCGTGCAGTTCTGTCTGGGCCCCTCCTGCTGTGTTTCTGGCACTGCACACAGTGGTGGGATGGAGCCGCTGTGTTATGATAGCCAGCTGTGCAGGCCCTGCATTTGTCTCCTGGAAAAGGCGGGTTTTCAAAGGCTTTGTTTTGAGGGGATAAGCCATCAAGTTTTCATTACTCTTTTTGTCTTGAAGATTTTTAGGACCCTTTATCTTTTTTGAGTTACTATTTAGGTTAGAATATGATTATGCAGCCCCCTCTTTTAAGTTTTTAAATGTTTACTTACATCAGAATCTTGGGTGCAAACTCAACAGATTCATTTGTTTTCCTTTTTGTAGAGATGGGGTCTTGCTGGGTTGCTCAGCCTGGTCTGGACCTTCAGGCATCAAGTAGTCCTCCTGCCTCAACCTCCCAAAGTCTGGGCCTGGCCCCAATTCAGTGTAATGGAGACAGCATTGAGGAACTGGATTAAAGTGGAGCTCAGTCTCTTAACTAGTTGGGTTGTCCTTCAACAACCACCTGACTTTTGTAAATCTTGATATCTGTTGCTGGGGAATGCTAACTGGCATTAATGGATTCCTTGTTGGGAGAATCAAGTGAGAACTTGAATGCTTGCAGGTTGCCAGTGAACTCTGGGCTGGTTAGTGAAGGTTGGCAGGCTTTGGGAGTTCATTTGCTTCCATGGAACAGTGTTGGGTTTTTTTGCAGATTGACTTAATTTAGTTCTTAGAACTTGGTCTCATCTGGAGCCTGAGTAATAACGCCTACTGGATTAAGCTGTTGGGAGGATTAAATGCTGTAAAGGACAGGATGGCCAAGGGCTGAAGTCTGCCGTTTGTGGTCGTGTAGTAGCTGCTGTGTGACGTCATGTGCTGTCCATCGTTTCAGACAGTATAGGAGTCCTCCACAGCCGACCACCCCTACACTGACCAATCCAATACTGACCACACCCTCCACAACCAACCACCCCTACGCTGACCAATCCTATACTGACCACCCCTTCCACAGCCAACCACCTCTACGCTGACCAATCCTATACTGACCACCCCCTCCACAGCCGACCACCCCTACGCTGACCAATCCTATACTGACCACCCCCTCCACAGCCAACCACCCCTACACTGACCACTCCCTACACTGGCCCTACACTACCCTCCACAGCTGACCACCCCCTCCACAGCCAACTACCCCTACACTGACCACCCCTTCACTGACCACTCCCTCCACAGCCAACCGCCCCCTCCATAGCTGACCACTCCTACACGGACCACCCCATCCACAGCCAACCACGCCCTCCATAGCTGACCACTCCTACACGGACCACCCCCTCCATAGCCAACCACCCCTACACTGACCACCCCTACACTAACTACTCTTAACACTGACCACTCTCTACACTGGTCCCCTCCCTACACTGACCACCCCTACACTGACCATCACCTACCCTGAGCACCCCTACACTGATCACCCCTTACACTGACCACCCGCCTAAGCAGGCGTAGCTTTCACAGACCAGACATGCACCACATGTGTGTATCAGTACAGCAGGCCCAGTTCCTATGTGACCACCTCTGTGCTGACCAGTCTGTTACAGGCCCTTGGGTAGTCACCGTACACAGGTTTTCCTCGTAAATTGTTAGTTCTTCAGAGAGATAAGAGGGTTTAACCAATATTTTCCCATCCACGGTTTGGGGAGGCAGTGAGGTGGGGTGAGAGTGGAGGGGTGTGGACAGGGAAGTCTGGCCTGGGGATTAGTCTGGAAGATAACTGCCCTCTGTAGTTGTGTATGCGCATGATTTGACAGGTCAGCAATCAGTGCCAATGTTCATTAACTACTGTACTTTTTGTTGATAAATATTATAAAGCAATAAAAGCCATGCAGTTAATGGAATTTGCTAAAGAAAGACTTTCAGTGTGTTTTAAAATACTGTTTAAAATAGAAATGGCCAATCTAGCGGGCACTCTGAGGTTTTGCGAAAGAGAAGTTTAGGGAAAGACCCCTTTGCAAAATAATACTTCATGAAGTGTTGCTTGTAAGAGCTGACTAACTGGTTTTATTTGCTGTATCCCCTGGGAATGGGTGAGCCGCAATGGCTGGTGAGCCTGGAGAGTTTGGAGGTGGGAGAGGCAGGGAGAGGGTCAAGGTGATGTGCGTCTGGTTGTTTTGTGTGGAATGTAAAAGAAGTCCAGCTTCTCTGCACTTTTTTCTGAGGTTGCTCATGTGTGACACGGCTTGTTTTTCTTCTAGGATGTGGAGAAAGAGAAGGAAACCCACAATTACCTCAGCAAAGAGGAAATCAAAGAGAAAGTTCATAAATACAATTTAGCAGTCACAGACAAACTGAAGATGACCTTGGTGAGTACCCATAATGCTGTTGAGGTCGAAACCTGTCAGGAGACAAATATAAATTGTTGCTGCTACAGTCTGTGTATTTTTAAATCTCTGAATAATACTAGCAGGAGTTTAGTGGTCAGGGTACACAGGAGAATAGAATATTTCTGTATATTCTGTAGAATAAATCAAATCAGATTTGTATTTTGAAGTATCTTTGTGTCAAAATCAGTTACTGGGTTAGCTGTAAAAAAGTGAAACACTATCACAGCACTTGGGAGGCTGAGGCAGGAGGATTGCTTCAGCCTAGGAGTTTGAGGTTCTGTGAGGTAGGCTGAGGCCACAGCACTCAAGCCAGGGCGACAGAGTGAGGCTCTGTCTTGGGGGGGAGCAGGGGGACGGCGGAAAGTGAAACACTTTCTAATTTTATTTTAAAAGATTTTTTGACACATTTCTTCAAGGATTTTTAGCATCACTGCCTATCATATAGATGGTAGCTGGGATTCTAACAAAACCTCAGATAAGTTTACCTTGTATAAAGTAGATACGGAAGTTATCAGGAAGAGGACTTTGTGCCCTGGGTTGGAGTGTGGAGATCGTGTGTCATGGAGCGTGCGTTCACATACAAATGGGGCTGAGACTTTCCTTTGCCGGTCAGTGCGAGATGAGCAGAGGCTCGTGCCCAGCTCTGTGCGTGCTGTCCAGGCTCTGGACCACCCTGCTAGAAGTGCAGAGGGAGAGGGTGTGGGGAAACTGCCCTGACAGGAGCCGAGCGTCCAGGTCTCGTCCAGGTCTCGCTGGTTCGGTGGCCCTCCTTACAGGGTGTGTCATCCTGGGCGCCGGTTTCCAAGGCTGGACCCCTGCTTCTCAGTCTCTTGCTGTGAACTGGAGTTCAGTGAAGGGCAGGGGGCCCTGTTAGAAGCAGGCCCTGCTGAGTTCTGTGACCCTTGTAGCGAGGGGCTTTTACGCAGGCACCTTTTGTGATAAAGGATCCCTCCCCGGGGGGACTGTGCCGAGAAGCGGGCAGGGGCACATTGACCCACCATGGTTCTCTTTATTCACCAGTGACGTTTCAAATACATTCTTCACCAGGGGAAAGAAATTCCACTATGTTTTTTTTTCTTTCCCTACAGAGATTGATAGAGAAATAGAGAAACAGGTCTTCCTGTTGTTTTAAAGATAGCAGTTTTAAGTCTTGGGCACAGTACTTTTTCATACACTACATTTTTCTGAGTGAACAAGTGAATTAGTACAGGCAGGGCCTGAATTACAAACATCCGTCCTACAAACGACTTGCACTTAGAACAGAGGTTATTATAGGTGATAGGTAAATGCACTGATAACAACTTACAGACAATCTCGGCTTGAGAACAAACCTGTAGAACCTCTTTCCTAAGGGGAACTGCCTGTGTTGTAAGTGGATCTTGAGGAAGGAAGAACAGTGGGTTGTAAAGGAGGTATTGTGGGTCCTACCTTGCTTGTGGCATTTTATCTAACACTTGATGATTTGTTTTAATAAAATATTACATGAAATCTTTTCTAAATATACTGAATGCAAAAAAAAGAAGGTGAAGGGAAGACCATTATTACTATTATTGGCCTCTAAGAAAGTAATTCTGTCACAAATGGCTGATAATATCTGTAGTCTGCATAGTGGCTTGGACTGGCCTTATCCCTTGTCGTGTGCTGTGTGTGCTTCATAAAAAAGTCTAAGTAAAATCGGTAATCTGGAACATGCCCTGCTGGCCACTAGGCATGAAAATAGCCTGTTTTCTCCCTGTTGGCTCACCGCTGACCAAGACATTCCCCAGTCCTGACTGTGCCCTTCCTTTTTGTGTGTTAGTCACCAGTGGAAGATGGTGTCCCTCTGAGCCTTCAGGGTGGATGTGCCCATGAGCTGACGTGTCCTGTGGTCCTGTGGTCCTGTGGGTGCCCACCTCTGGGCCAAGGCCTCACAGCGGGCCCTGACCTTTCACTAGTAGCTTCAGAGGCAGTTCAGCTGACACATCTGCCCACAGGCCCTGCCTCTGGAGGCACTTTGCAGGGGTGCACTGACCTGCCCCTGAGGTCATTCTCTGGGGGGCTCCTCATTGGAGTGACCCACCACAAAGCTGGGAGAGAAGAGAACCAGACAGCAATTTAGCTTCTATGTGTTGCGATATCCCCTTCCTTGAAGTGTCTCTGTTCTCTGCCTGCTCAGAATTCCAATGGGGTTTACACTGGCTTCATCAAAGTTCAGATGGAACTCTGCGCACCCCCCCAGACGTCACTGAAGCCTGGAAAGCTCGCTCCTGGATGCAGTGACTGCATGAACACGCTTCATATCAGCAGCACAAACACTGTCGGCGAAGTGATCGAGGCCCTGCTCAAAAAGTTTCTCGTGACTGAGAGCCCCTCCAAGTTTGCACTTTATAAGCGCTGTCACAGGGAGGACCAAGGTACGCTGAGCCACGCTGAGTGGGGACGGCTCTGCTTCAACTGGAGTCTGGTGGAGATGGGCAGGTGTGTCTGTGCCCATCAGCGCCTGGGTCAGATTCTGGGACATGCACTTGGTATATCCTGGCAGTCCCACGGCTGTGGGTTTGAGCCTAGAGGCGTCCACGTGTGATGGGCATCTGTGGAGCATTTAGTGATGGAGGAGCTTTCATTTTCTTAAAGAGACTGGCTCTGAGTGTAACACATTTCAGGGCACACTAGAGAAGGCCTCTGCGCTTGAGTTTCGGTGGCACACTCCACACTGGCTGTGCCTCTGCGGTGGATGGTGTCAACAACACACCCTACTGACTGCTGGCAGTGGCCTGGCCCGTGCTCTCCTGCTCACTTGGCTGGCTGTGCCTCTGCAGTGGGCAGTGTCACAGCGCACCCCACTGACCGGTGGCAGTGGCCTGGCCCCGTGTTCTCCTGCTCACTTGGCTGGCTATGCCTCTGTGGTGGGCGGTGTCACAGCGCACCCCACTGACCAGTGGCAGTGGCCTGGCCCTATGTTCTCCTGTTTACTTGGCTGGCTGTGCCTCTGTGGTGGGCGGGGTCACAGCACACCCCACTCACTGTTGGCAGTGGCCTGGCCCTGTGCTCTCCTGCTCACCTGGCTTCTCCCTCTGGGTATTACCCTGGGATCTCACCACTCTTGTCCTCTGGAGGCACATGGAAAGGGTGGATAACACTGTGGCTGTGGTCTGTCTGAGCTTCTGCCCACATTCAGGGGATAGAAAGAGACTGTCAATTACGGCATGAGACCGAACAAGGCTGTCCAAGCGGGCAGAAGTCGCTACAAATGGTGGCAGTGGTGATTCAGTGATTCACCAGGTGCCACCTGAAAATGTCAGGTGTCTGAGAGGAATTAACTATTTAAGATTTCTCTAGTTTTTCTGGATAAAGCCTAAAGCAGCTATAGAAGAAGATATATTGATTTTGACATGGCAGCATTGCCCCTCAGTTGGGCGGAATGGAGCCCAGCACAGTTTTTAAACACTACACAGAGGCACAGGTGGGGCTCCCGTCCTTAGGCCCAGGCCTTGCAGCCTGGGGACGCTTATGTCTCCAGGGAATCAGCACCCATGGGGCAGGTGGGTCGAGAAGGTCAGCGTGGTGAAGTGTAGGTTGGAGTTTCATCTTGCTAGCTGCTCTGCTTCCTCACCTGTGTAATCGGATGTCCTGGCATTCTGTTGAAATAAATACCATCCCACAGGCAGCACCAGTACATGCATGTGCGTGTGTGTTTGTGTGTGTAGCATGAGACACACACAGCTGTGCTCGAAGCCACCAGAGCTTGTGTTTTGAGTGTCTGGTTTGTTTGTGGCTGCTAATTCTAGACTAATCTATGGAGAGATTTGCCCTCAGAGCTCTGATTTTCTGTTCTTTGGATGGTGTATTTTTATTGCTATTAAAGGGGTTGTGGATCCTTTTTGAGTTTCTTATCTGGCATTCTCAAAGGTAGAGCAGGCCTAATTGTAAGCAAATGTGGGGACTGACAGCTTATTCTTAAAAGTGATTTCCTCCTTAATCAGGTAGAGTGTGTATTGGGCAGATAGAACAGAAACAGCAGACGTCATCACGCGTAGGGTGCAGGTGATGCAGGAGGAGGCTGGTGTTGAGGTGGGACAGCATGGACCGTCACTTTATCTGGCGAAGGGATCTGTTTGCAGACGACTGGTCTCAGCAACATGCTGCCTGTTTTCTCCCCAGTCTACGCCTGCAAGCTCTCAGAACGGGAACACCCGCTCTACCTGCGTCTGGTGGCAGGACCTAGAACAGACTCGCTTAGTTTTGTTCTTCGTGAACATGAAATTGGAGAGGTAAGTGGTTGTTCCTTATTGCTTAAAACTCTGCGGAATTGGGGCTGCAATTGGGGCCTTGTTATTGCTCTCTTGACTTGACTACTGAGGGGGAGGGAGAGAGATTTTGAATCAGAAATGAACCCAGAGTTAGCCTGAAATATAATTCTGTTACAGCATTACACTGCCCTGTAATTCTCAGAGGTGGAGAAAATAAAGTTTTTCACTTGATCTCCATCCGAGAGTCATTTTCACCCCTTGCCACCTCCAGATCACTCTGACGGCAGCTGCACTTTGAAAGCTGACACTCTCCATATGTTTGCTGCTAACTAAAGTCTCCAGGCTAATTCCCTTCTAAAGTGAACTAAAAGGAAATCTGATCTCTTTACCATGAAAGACATTTAACTTTCTAGAATCCTGTTTTCCTCTTTGTCTGGTCAAATGATTAAGAAACTGTGTCTCTGTCTCTGTGAGACAGTTTGCTCTGTCCTCCGGGAGGCTTGTATGTGGCCAGTTCAGTAGAAGAGAAAAGCCCTGAGCCGGCCTCAGATCAGACGTCCGCTGCAAAACGACAGCTGACAAACCCCCAAGGCTCTGGTCTCTGAGTCTTCCATCTGGAACAAGAGCTGGCATGCCATGTCCCAGGAGGGCGTTCCATGGCACAGTGAGAAGGGGGCTTCTAGGTTAAAAGTTAGGGAACCAGGACTCTGCCTCCTTGTGTTTATGAGGTTGGGACATGACCACGGGTAAATCTTCTCATCTTACAGCACTCAGCTTTAGAACCTGTAACCAGGACTACATTTAAAAGGTAGTTTTGAGCATGATAAGAAATGGTGGAAATGTGTTTTATAAGTGGTACAGCCGTATGTAAGTGTAAGTTAGAACTGGGTGCAGGGAGTTTTAGGAAGACAGTGATTTTAGGCATTGTTGAATTTTCTTTTGATACTAGTATTTCAGAGCTTTTTAAGAAATTCAGACCTTTGTTTTGGGAAGGAGATCGCTGCCCAAGTGTGCTTTGTGGCTGGGCAGTGTCCCTCTGGAAGCTTGAGCCCGACACACAGGCATAATTAAGTCCATGTTTTCCTCTCCAGTTCTGGGTCTGTTAAGTGTTCCGCAAAGCTTAGCGCAACTTGGGCTACTCTGAAATTTACTTTGCGTTGCTTTGCGTTCTGGACTGCCGTGTGGGACCTTGTATGTTCTTGTTTCTGTTACTTAAGGAGGACCAACCTGAGGGAGAAAACTTTCCACTTTACGGGGTGGGAGAGAAAAGATACTTCAGATAGTGTCTTTATTTTAGAGACCATGACATCTGTGAAAAATAAAATGTTAAATTTTTAAAAATTAACAGAATATTCTAATGTAGAAAGTTTTGTTCCCCTACTTTCCAGTCCTCATTTTCTCTAGTAACACTGTCCACCTCTGCTCCGGGGGCTTCTGTCCTGAGGCCACCTGGTGGGGTTCTTCACTCCGCTCTTGTTCACTGGTGTTAGTGAGTCTCAGCTGGGACCGGGGGCCCCTTTGGGAAGGGAGGACATATTTGGGAAAACCTCCAGGATGATGCTGAAAACCCGCCTTGACACTGACTGCTTTAATTACAAAAAAAAAACTTGTGCCCTGCTGAGTGCTAGGTGCTGTTAGGGAGATAGAATTCAGGGCCTCAAGGCCAAGAGACAAGCCCCAGGGTGAGGAGTCCGTAGCTGCAGTGTGGGTGAGGAGCCAGTGTCCTCAGTCCGCACCCATGGAGAAATGGGGGCAAGTCAGATAATTGCTTTGGGATAAGAGACAGAGCTGACTGCTGCCCAGGCTGAGGTGCAGTGGAGGACAGTCACAGCTCTCTGTCACCTGGGTCTCCTGGCCTCAAGCGGTCTCATACCTCAGCCTCCCAAGTAGCTGAGACTATAGGCGCCCGTGCCAGCTTCTGGCCAATTTTTTTTTATTTTGATTTTTTATTTTATTTATTTATTTATTTATTTTTTTGAGGCAGAGCCTCAAGCTATCCCCCTTGGTAGAGTGCCATGGCATCACAACTCACAGCAACCTCCAACTCCTGGGCTCAAGTGAGTCTCCTGCCTCCGCCTCCCAAGTAGCTGGGACCACAGGTTCCTGCCACAACGCCCGGCTATTTTTTGGTTGCAGCTGTCATTGTTGTTTGGAGGGCCCGGGCTGGATTCAAACCCACCACCTTAGGTGTATGTGGCTGGCACCTTAGCCACTTGACCCACAGGCACTGAGCCCAGAAATAATATAATTTATTTCATTATATTAAAGATGGAGTCTTAATATGTTGCCCAGGCTAGCATCAAGCTCCTAGACTCAAGTGATTCCTATCCTCTCAGCCTGGGATTCCTGGCGTGAGCACTTGCACCCAGCCTTCATTCATTCATTCATTCATTCATTCAGAAGACAGAGTCTCACTCTGTTGCCTAGGCTAGAGTGCCATGGGATCATCATAGCTCACAGCAACCTCAAATTCCTGGGCTCAAGCAATCATCCTGCCTCAGCCTCTCGAGTGGCTAGGACTACAGGCGCTGCCACACCACCTGGCTAATTTTTCTATTTTTAGAGATGGGGTCTTGTTCTTACAAGGGATCCTCCTGCCTTGGGATTCCAGGCGTGAGCCACCACACCTGTCTCCTCTAATAATGTTAAAATCTTGCTTGTCTTCAGGGCAGCCAGTGCTCTGTGAGGGCTTCTGAGAGACTTGGTCCTGGGAGGGAAGGAGTGGAAGGCTTCTAGAGCAGGTGGCGTGTGAGCTGAGATGTGGAGGATGAGTAGGAATTCTGAGCCAGGCAAGGCGGAGGGGAGGAGAGCATCTTCCAGGCCGACTTGGGTAGAGAGCAGCTCCACGTCGGAGTCGAGCTGGGGAGGTGAGGTCTTCACACTTAGCCAAACAACTAAGGGAAGCCACCCGAGAGTCTTGACCAGATTTGCATTTCACAAAGGCTGTTCTGTTTGGGGAACAGACTGGGGCTGCAAGGTGAGATGGAAATGAGGAAGCCAGGAGGGACTGTCCCAGGACTGTAGGAGTACATGGTGGCTGCCAGGTCTGGAGGTGCAGAGAGCAGCGGGCTGAGCGATGGTGGTGGGCTGGTTGTGGGCGGTGGGAAAGGCAGCAGTGACCAGGAGGGCCCTGCATCAACAGGGGTGGAATGTGGCCTTGTATCTGGGGTCCAATCAGGTGAAGAACAGAAGTGTTAATGCACTTAGGGCAAGTCGGCTGGGGGGTAGGGTGGAGCTGCCTAGGGGCTCCAGGCTGGGGGGCTTGGGGCTCTAGGCTGGAGGGCTGGGGGGCTCCGGGCTGGGAGTCTGGTGCTTGGTGCTGGGGGCTCCAGGCTGGAGGGCTAGGGAGCTCCGGGATAGGGGAGCTCTGGGCTGGGAGTCTAGGTGCTTGGTGCTGGGGGCTCCAGGCTAGGGGGTCTCTGGGCCGGGAGTCTGGGTGCTTGGGGCTGGGGGCTCCCGGCTAGGCAGCAGCCTCTCCTCTGAGTGCCTGCCAGCATTCCTGAGTCGGACACCCTCATTATTCTTTCTGTGTTCTATCCAAGTGGGAAGCTTTCAGCCTTCCAGAACTACAGAATTTCTTACGCATCTTGGACAAGGAGGAAGATGAGCAGCTACAGACGCTGAGGAGGCGCTATGCAGCCTACAGACGCGAGCTGGAGGGGGCCCTGAGCCGGGCCTGGACTCCCGGCTAGCCGGGCCCTGCCCGAGCTGTGCGGACCGAGGACAGTGCAGACGGTTCCGCCCGTGCTCCGGCCTCCCCTTTCATCTCTAGGCCTAGTTCCCCACACTGGCCACAGCGCCCTGCACCTTCAGCCTCCCGCATGCAGTGCCTGCCAGTCCACTCTGTCACCGCACATGGAGCCTGCCAGTGGGCTCTGTCACCGCCTGCAGAGCCTCCCAGCCTGATCCATCACCATACAGGGGCCTGACAGCCCTCTCTGTCACCACACGCTGTGTTGTCTGGGCAGCTGTGCACCCGCTGTCTCTGGAGCATCATAGCGGGCTTGGGAGCATGAACTCTGGAGTTTTTTGGTTTGTTTGTGTCCTTAATTTTTTTTTCAGTTATTTTAATTATGTGATGATAATGATAAGCTTAAGGATGTGCAAATGATTTTTAAAAAGCTTAACTAGGAACCTCTCTGAATATTTGCCCTATTTTGAAACTACCTGGTTTTTGTTTTTTTTAAATGTCAGAAGCATCTATCCATGGGGATCAAAAGGCACAGGAATCTAGGAACTCTAAGGAATTTGTGAAGGATTTTGTAGCATTTGGGCAAAGAAAGTAAAAGCAAGTTTGGAAGAAGGCAGGTGTAGCGTGGAGAGCTCAAGGCTGGGTAGGCAGCCTGGCTGGTAAGGGGAAGGTCGAAGAGAAAGGGGTAGTTGCTTGTGAGTGAACTAAAAGCGTTCAGTGGTGAGATGTTAAATTCATTTTAGGAATGTTTCATTTCCTGGTGGGTAAACTGTGGGAACAGAGCCAAAGAGCAGGAGCTAAATAAACCAAAAGGAAGGACCTATGGACTCTGCAGCTGACCAGAGATCTGAGCAGGTAGAACCTTGAAACAGGGGTGGGGGTCCACGTGGCTGACTCTGCCCTCTTGGTGGAAGCTTCTCTGCACAGGCAGGGCTGGGACCATGTGCTGAGTTGCATTCAGTGCATACACAGTTGCCCCTAGAAGTTGTTTTCAAAGTTGAAGAGCAGTTGGGGAGGGCAGCTATTTCCACCTGGACTGTGAGCTGGGGGGCTTGTGAAGGGCTCCCAGCGCAGTGAAGGGTCATAGCTCCCTTCTGGACAGTCGTCCCTTGCTTCCATTCCTGTTTCCTGTCCCCTCCTTTCTTCCTTCCTGCCTTCTCTCTCTTCCTCACTTTTCTTTCTCCCTTCCTCTTACACTTCAGAGGCTGCTCTTCCCTAACCTAGAACAGGGACGTCGGGTAAAGACCCAGTCCAGCCAGGCCTTCAGCTCTGAAGGGCAGCTGTGTGTGGGAAGAGAGTCCACACCTGGCTGACCACATATCAGGGAAACACTTCAACAAAGTACCTGTCCCTGCCATCCAAAGAGGTGCGTGTGCAGTAACAGAAGCCTTCCTTCAACAGGCTAAATAGCCCCATTTTGCGCAGCCATTTATCTGAGACCAGAGGGAAAGGGCTGCTGTGGTTCCCCAGGAGCGTTCTGTTTGTAGTCTGGGTGTTTTTGTTTATAAATTCCCAAGGAATTGTTGACACTTTGGTGACACTTAACGGAATCTTTTTTGAAATTCCAAGGTGCTTCAGTTCTTCGCCTCTGAAGAGAACTGTGCCTTTATTGCCTTTTTGTCCCTCCTGGTGGCCGTCCCATCTTGTAGGAGGCAGATTCAAGCGTTGGCTTTGCTGTGCCACAGTCTGCTGAGACAATCACATCTTCCTCAGCTTTTAAGAAGAGCTGGGGAGGGAGGGGGAAACAGTAGAGCTAGTTTATAAAATATGTATGGCACGTCTCGTTTAACTGTGCATGGGACCTCTTAGTGCATTGATGAGGTTTTAGTGACACTGTCACCCAGCACTCAGCCCTCATTGTTCAGGGAGTGCCTTTGTGTTTTTATACTGGTTTTACTATCCTGATTATGGCTTGGGTTTGAGTATACTGTTGTCAACCACCTGGTCTTTTAATTACTTATTCCAGTAAACTTATGTTTTGTGAAGCATTTGCTTCTCAGATTAAGACACTGTTAGAACCTAAAGTAGTAGCTGATGGGGATCTGTGAATTTTTTTTTTTTTTTTACTTGAAGTAGATTGTCTAAAACAGGCATTCTCATCTGTATTTACCCAGAACCTCACTCGTCACATGCACTGCAGGTTACAGTTCGTATTGAATCTCACAGTTTGTGGTTTGTGAAGACTGATATTCTTTCCCAAACACTGGTTACTGCAGCAGCATTTTTAATGTGTAAAAAAAAAAAAAAAAGCCACTAAGGCCAAATATTTTTTAAAAAACTTTGTACAAATCCTTACATTAAACTAAGCTTTGCTGCGATGCTGTTCTCTCTGCAGTGTGGCTGGGACAGGGTATGCTAACCAGAGGGCTGAGGTTGCAGAAGAGCATTTTAAATCGCAGGAGTAAGGAACTTATAATATTTATAATTTTGATGAGTTTATTTTTATAGGGAAGATTTTTCTCCCCTAAATTGTTTCTGGAATGGCAAAATTATTCCCATTATTAAAAATTTAAGTTCTTTGTTGGTGTTTGTGTGTTTTAATTTATGATAATGTACTAGATAAGAAAAGGTGGCCACAGGACTGGGGACAGCTGCCTCTGCAGACGCCACAGGGGAGCGTGCTGGGAGCAGCTTTCCTGGGTTCGGGTGGATAGTATTTGCTCACTCAAATTAATTTTCCCTTTGCCTTGTCCTCTTGAGTGTCTGCTTGTACAGCACTTTCCTATTTTATATATAACAGTTGTTTTACTGTAATTGTGATGTATACAGTCAATTCTTGAGGGTAGGAGTTGAAGACCAGCCTGGACAACATAGCAAGACCCCATCTCTACAAAGGAAGAGGAGGAAAATTAGCAGGGTGGTCCCAGTTCCTCGGGAGGCTGAGGCAGGAGTTCTAGGCTGCAGGGAGCTATGATTGTACCACTGCACTTCAGCCTGGGCAAACAGCGTGAGACACTATCTCAAAAACACAGACACCAAAGTGTATAAAGCATGTGAACAGATTAAAGAATTACCACAAAGTGCACACCCTGTGCCACTACCCAAATAGAATCTTGTTAATTCTTCAGAAGTCTTTTTCTGCCCCCACTGTTGCACTGAGGTCTCCTGCTGGAGACAGCAGACTTCAACATGAAAGGAATATTTGTATTTTCGGGTCAACATGCCTGTCTTACAAGTGTGGACTGGAGCGTGTCTGAGGAACCCCAGTCGCTGCAGGTTTCTGTCCTGGGTGTGCACCGGGGCTCTCCAGCACTGTGCGTCTGTGTCTGCAGTGGGGACTCAGTTTTACTGCTGTAGTGACTCCTGAAGAGGCTGGTGACATAGCAAGGCTGGTCCTAAGTAGTGAGGGGACTATTTCAAATAGGCTGCTTTATCAGTGTAAACATTATGGCTCCATAGTGTTCTCCTTTTTTGCTGAAACATTTGGAGGAATTTAGGAGTTTAGGTTAGGTTCCTACCCAAGGTGTAGGGGGTTATTTGGGGACTTTTGTCCCTTCCAGGGAGTTAGCTTTCTGTCCTCAGCTTTTTTCACAATTTGTCATCAATTACTGTTATTAAAAGCAAAATGCTCGAGGTTCAAGGCTGATTGGCACAACCAGAGGCAGTGCAGTGCTTTCCCTGTGCTCTGTAAACATAGTTACAAAGTGTCTGTCTTTCCAGGCAAGTTATAGCCATAATGCTCAGAGCAGCTGGGACTAGGGCTGCCCCTGGTGTCGTGTCAACATGAGGCAGTGATGCTGAGTGGTGAGTGGTCTGGGGCAGAAGGCTGCGTGTAGGTGCTGTCTGGGGGCTTGGCCTTTTTGCTACTTAGTGTTTTCATGCCTGGAGAGTAATCTCCTGGGAGATGGGGCTGTGTCTTCACTTTGCATCTCTTCTAGCTGCAGGGCACGAAATTCGTGGGACAGAACATGGTGCCATGTCTGGAAACAGCACTTGGGCAGTGTCTGGGCGGAAGATGCTGCTGTCCGGGCAGACCCCACGCTGCGGCTCCCTGCTCCCTCCTGCTCCTGGGTAGTCAGTGCTCACTGGCTGTGGGACTCGTAAACAAGGCCTTCCGTGGAGGAAGGAAAGGGGCTGGGGTGATTGGGGGCCAGAGTTCTGCTTGTGGTCCCTGCGTTCAGAGAACCAGACGCCACACCCTGGCTTCCTTCTTTGTGGGAGCAGCCCTGGAGAGTGAGTCTAGGGCAGAAGCTGCCCACAGGGAGCTTCCCTCAGTCCCTCACTCATTCCAGACTGCCGGAAAGAACCCAGCCTGCCATGCTGTTCCCAGGCCTTATACAGTTGTTTCTCACCTCACCTGGGAGACTAGGGTGGAGGCAGCCCCCCTCTCGGAGACTCAGGCAGGAGCAGAATCATTCTGCATCTGAGCTGCTTACTTGCCCAGCACTGGAGGAGGGCAGTGTGTAGGGCTGGACGATCTGCCTGGATTTGGACAACAGGTGTCTGGGAAACCGCATCAGAACTTTGGCCTGCTACAGCTGCTCACAGCTGTTCTCCCTTGTACTGGCTTTTGGGAGTTGTGGGGACCCACTGGAGAGAAGACTTGGATTTGTGCATGGACCCTGTGAGCAAGAGTCCATTAAAATATTTTCCCACACGTGCTGAGGACATCTTAGCAACGATTCCAACAAAGAAGCTTCTACTTGGTTTCAGTGACAATAGTTAGGAACCAGTGTTGTATTTTTGAGTATGTAATTTACATAGACCCTATCCCCCTTTGGAGATAAGTTGAACCTCTATCACTGGACAAGTGTGTCCTGCCCTGGATACCTGTAGTTGGCTATGTTTAGGGGAGAGGATGGCTCTATTCCTCTTGGTCTGCTAGCTGTGGGCCTATCAGTTACATAGTGCTGCATAACAAGTTAGCCCCAACTGGCAGCTTAAAACAGTGTTAAATAACTATTATATCACCTTTTTGTTTTCTGTGGGTCAGGAGTTAGGAGCAGCTGAGCTGGATTACCCTTGTATGCCCTCTCTCATGAGGCAGCAGTTAAGATTTTGGCTAGGGTGGGAGTCACCTGAGGCTGACTCTATAGCAGCAGCCTGGGGCATCTGCTTCTCAGATGGCTCGCCCACATGGCTCAGGTGGGGAGGTCATTTTCCTCCACATGTGGACTTCCACCCAGGATGACTTTGGTGTCTCTGCGCTATGGCACAGTTTATCCCAGAGTGATCAGAGCGCCAGGTGGAGGGGCCATGCTTCTTGGGCCCAATCTGTGGTCACACAGGTCACAGCAACTCTGCTGGCCCTATGGACCACCTAATGCAGATGTGTTGTGCACAGGAGGCTACATGGGGCCGTCAGGCCATCTGGAAGCCGTTATGGCATGTGGAGGTAGTTGAACTGTAGTCTGAATGCCAGCCAAAATTCTTTCAAAGCTATAATTGAGTAAAGATTTACTGGTGCCTATAGTTCAGTGTTCAGGGCACTGGCCACATACACTGGGGCTGGCAGGTTTGAAACCAGCCCTGGCCTGTTAAATGACAACTATAACAAAAAGTAGCTGGGTGTTGTGGCAGGTACCTGTAGTCCCAGCTACGTGGGAAGCTGAGGCAAGAGAATTGCTTGAGCCCAAGATTTTGAGGTTGCTGTGAACTGTGACACCACGGTACTCTACCGAGGGTGACATAGTGAAACTCTTGTCTCAAAAGGAAAAGCAAATTTATTGGGGATGATTTTCCATATGGTACTTCATTTGGGGGTCATCAGCCAGGGGCCATCCAGGCAGACACTACAGAATATGAGGAAGAAACGGCCGCTTCCAGCACTAGGTGAGTGATGCAGGCCTCTTCTCAAAACTACGACTTGTGGACTGAAACAAGGACACGCTCCCACCAGAACAGAAATACATTTTAATTCATTGAAAAGTGCAGCAGTGAACAGGGTTCTTTTGAAGGGCACTTTCTAAGTCAAACGACTGGGATGACACAGAGCAAGGGCAGGAGGGTTCCAGAACAGACAAAGCAGACAGGGATTTACAAACCAGGAGGAGCTAAGGGGATTAAACCAAAGAACCCAAACACGCCTGATTCTATCTGTGGACCAGCTGACACCCTTTGCTTTCTCTTAGTGAGGATCCTGGCACAACTTATTAAAACACTAATTTAGACACTAAGTGAATGTAAGAACATTTCTTACAGATGAAGGTTTAATTTCCATGGCTGTCATTAGGATTTTGTACTAGAAGGCTAGTGTTGTCGATTAAGATGTGTTTGCAACAGCACCAGTGTCAAATTCAAAGATGCTCAAATGGTGTTCCTACTTTCTATGTGAACAAGAGCTCCTGCAGTGGGAATCAGAAGGCAAGGCTGTCTGTTCCTCAGCCCTCTGCTCATTGCTGATGTTATGTGGTTCTCTACTCTGAAGGGCACCGACAGACACAGGCCTGACCTTCCTAAAAGGGAAAAGAATCCAAATGACTGCAAGTGGGCCCTCACCACAGTGCTCTGAAGATGTCAGTGCACTATGGGGCCGGTGGGGCTGGAAGGTGAGTCTCTTTATGGAAGTTTTTACCACAGATCCAGAATGAAGCCAGTTCAAGAGAAAAAGTAAAATTAGGGCTGTTCAGAGGTTAGGTAGGAAATGTACCCAAAACAGAAGGGTTACAAGGAGGTGCTCACACATCCCCGCACCCAGACACACCAGCTTGACGGAGTGTGGCAGGGATGTCGGGGCCGCTGGCTGGGCCTCTACCTGCTGTCAGGAACCAGCATCACACAACTGAAGAACGTGACATCACCCTTGAAGACCTGGTAGGAGTTGTTTTTTTTATTTGGGAAAAACTAGGGGGTCACCTCATTAACATGGAAGTTGACTGATAATGTTAGGATCAGGGTAGAGAAGGAAGCTGATACCCATATTCAATATAGTTTGCTTTTAGTTACAAAATTTTGAGAATTTCTCTACAACATTCACAGCAGAGACTTTTATTCACTTGCTGTATTTCACTTCCAGACACCACCACCAGTTGCTGGGCTCATGGGAGGTAAAGGATACACCCAATGGCTATTAACCCACATGGCTATCTGGAATTCTGATAAAAAAGCTATGTATGCCCACGTCTTACAAAGTGTTTAAAGCTGAACAGAAGACCTTAAATAAAGCTAAAATTGCTTAGTGCCTGAGTTGGACAAGTTATAAACCATAGGTCTTCCTTCTCTCCTGCTGTCTAACCACCAATTATCTTTCTTATGAAAAAAAATTAGAAATGGAATTGATTGTAAGCCAAGAAACATAAAAGCGTAGATGTTACAAATGATGAGGAAACCTGAACAGACTTGATTTTGATGTGAATACTCAACAGGGCCCCAGTTAAACTCTGTAACCTCAGGAGGAGCTTAACTCTAGGGCAGAATGGTGGTAAAGCAGCTGACACTTGGCATTGACTATAAAAAAGGTTCATGGCCTGAAGACCAGGACACCGGGATGCATGTGGAGTCAGAATGACAGCACGGGGTGAGGCCAGGCTCCCTGCTGGGCACGTACCAGCTTCCTCTACCCAGGGACAGACCTTCAACATGAAGGCCCTCAGAAGACACAGCCTGCACACAGCCCTGGGCAGTTCTCCCCTACGGGTCTTCCTAAGCCACCTACTTTTCAGCTCTGAGAAGGGAAAGTCTCGAGCAGAGCCACCTCCTCAGTTTCCTAGTGTGGCAGCGGAAGCACAGATGGTGGTCACCGTCAGCGTCTCCCACTGCTCACTTGGGAAGTGCAGCACCAACCTCGAATCCCAGAAGGGAACCGAACTTGGCTGACATGTTTCGTTGCTGCCATGACAGGTCCCTATTTATTTAGAACAATGGTGCCTGCGCTTACGTGGATGACTTGAGCTCTGATGGTTACTCTTCAAGCCATGTGATGTTAGTATTTTTGATAGTAATGTGATCAAACTGAAACATTATGCGGGTCAAGCTATTTACCAAAAGGTGGGGTGTTTTTTTTGTATGTGTGTTTTGTTTTGCCCTAAAGTATTGCCATTTATCTGAATGGATTTACAAATTCAGACTCTGACCACATGGGGAATAATCAAGAACTGGGGCATCAGGACAGAGAATTACAGTGAAAACAGACGATCTCAAGGCCAAGACCGGGACAGCCACTCCTGACACGTGGGCAGAGTTCACAGTTGAATGCACTGCACAGGGTCAGCTGATCAGGGCACTTTTTCTAACAGTACTTAAAAAAGCCAGTCTGGAAATTCTTGCAGGCGTGGTCCTGAAGACCAGCCACAGATGCCCACTAGGGTCACGTCATCAGGAGCCACGCAGGGTCCTACCGTGAGGCTGGGCTTGTTTGCTACAGGAGGTGTTTCGGAAACCTTCGTGTCCTGATGTTGCCGTGACTGCTGAACATGAGGCGAGGGTCAAACCTGTACCTGGGGGAGAAGACGTCACATTACTCCACTGACTCCTCAACAGCCTTCAGTGGGAAGTGGGCAGGAGGGGACACAGCAGCGCATCCGGTGGGAAGCACTGGGCACGAGACATGAGCACTCAGGAGGTAAGACCGTCCTTGCCTGGAGTCGCAACGCAGAGCCGTGTGAGAAGAGCCCAGCCAAGGCTGGGTCGTCCTGAGAGGCATCCAAGGGCCGGGTTAAGCCTTTCTGAAAGTGGAGGCAATCAGTTATGCTCAGGCCACCCTTATTTTACTTAATGACGGCTCCAAAGCACAAGAGCAGTGATGCTGGCAATGACGACATGCCTGGAGATGCTGTAAGGTGCCTCCTTTAAGTAAAAAGTGAAAGCTCTCAATAAGGAAAGAAAAACATCTTTGCTGAGGTTGCTAAGCTCTATGGCAGTAACAAATTAACAAATTATCTGTGAAATTGAGGAGGAAAAGAAATTTATGCTATCACTAGTTTTGCCATCACACCTCACACCGCAGAAGTTACGGCCACAGTATGTGGAAAGTGCTCAGTTAAGATGAAGAGGGTCTGACTTTGCGGGAAGCCGGCGATGGCAGTCACCTCACTGCCCCCTGCAGGCTGCAGGCATCCACTGCGGGCCTGGAGATGCCCCTGAGGATGAGAGGAGCGAATTTTAGAGCAGCGGTTGGCCAGGTAATATGGTAGGGGTTGTGGGCCATGCAGGCTCTGCCCCAAACATTCACCTTTATTACTGAAGCACAAAAGCAGACACAGACCACACGTAAATGGGTGTGTATGGTGCATACCCACAGGCTCTAGCCTGCTGACCCCAGTTTGAAGGATGCCAGAGGCCCAAAGCAAAGAACCATCAGGGTTGAGGAAAGCCAGGTGGAGTTTTGACAGCTCAGGTTATCAGCCAAGCAAGGTGGAGTTTTGACAGCTCGGGTTATCAGCCGAGCCAGCTCTAGAACCTCAGCTGTCAGCTTCTCCAAAGTGAGCAACTTAGTTCAAAAGCCAAACTTGCCTGGGAAGCAGAGCACGACACCAGTGGGATCCTCAGAACAGTGGTCCCCAACCTTTTGGGCACCAGTTCCGGTTTCATGGAAGATAGTTTTTCCATGGAGACAGGAGGCAGAGCTCAGGTGGTGACCCTGTGTGGCTGGGGACTGGGGACCACAGCCTTATAGGGTGACCACTGGGCAAACCACAACTCCCGACGTAGAGCTCCATGGAGATCGTATGACCAGTTCTTCTGACACTCACAGCAGACATTCTGAGGGAACAAGGCACCTGGCCTCACCTGCCATGTGCTGGCCAGTTGGTGCAGGAATGGCAGGCCTGTGTCCTGGCAGTGGGGTGGTCAAGGACTCCCTGGCCACACAGTACAATCCCAGAGGTCCAAGGCCCCTGCCCCTCCAATTAAGATTTAGTCAGATGTGGGCATTAAGTTCCCAGACTCAGCCAGACAGTAGGTAGTTAAAAAGCCCTAACTGACACACATCTAAATTAATTTGACTTGATGAACATTCTGAGCTAAGTAGGTGCTACAAACTATAAAATCCATACCTGTCAACTGAAGCCTTGTACTTCTATTTTAGAAACTGAATTCCCTATTTCAAGTAACTGACCCCAAGCTAGGATCTATCTCACTGATGACCTGGAGGGGAGGCCAGAGTACTAACAGGATCACCGAGATAAACAAGTTACTCCTCTGTTCCAGGGATGTCAGTGATGCTGCCTTTACACGGCTGTCTGGGTCCAGTCTACTGGTAACCACGTCTCTCTGGCTCTATATTCACTACTAAAAACATGACATTATTAATAAATAGTTTATGATCCAGTTTCTCTAACTCATTCACATAGATTTGTCTCTAATTTGGACTGAAGATAAGACTTAACAAGATGATGGCTAAATAGTTAAGTTCGAACTATCAACTTAGGACATCACTTTTCTTTCTCTCCTACAATCAGAGTGTAATAATCCTTCCCCAGGGAAAGTTTGATTTTTAACTTTAAATCTTCAAGAAAAAATGTATGCCAGGCTTCCTGCCACAGGCAGCTCCATTGCCTGGCATCTGACATCTGTGTGACGGCAGAGTCCTCACCGTCTCAGAGGGACAGTGGTGGGGGACGGATGTGACTTAGCAGGTGACAAACATCCTTCACACCCCCACACACTGTAGTGGGTTTATATATCTCAACAACTTAGTTTATTCCTCCTATTTTCATTGTGTCTGTTTAATATATTAGTGTTTCATTAATTAGAGTTTCTGAGAAACAAATGAAGGAAACTTACCCCGGGTCAAACACCCCTGGCGTGCGGCAGGTGGGCCCAGAGCAGGACTGTAGCATCATTAGCCGGTAGTTCATCTTCCCTAAAAGCTCTGGGTCTATACTCTTAGCAATGTTAGTGATTTGGTCTGGATCTGCAGTCAGGTTATAGACTTCTACAAACACCTGGAGAAAAGGGACGGGGGTGGCAAGGAAAGCGCAAGGGTTATATTTAAAAAAATATTCTTGATATGGAGGATCTGCCTGCTCCCAGGCAGATAAAACCAAGGCCCCAGAGACTGTCCGTCTAGTTTCAAGCTGGGGCATCTGTTCAGGGCCCCAGCTGCATGCTGGAGAGCCCTGCACACCCCGTGCCTTCAGCAGTGTGATCAGGAGGGCACAGGAGACGTACTCCTCTGTGTTGAGAGGTGGGAGCAGAGGGCAGGACCGGCAATGGCACGTCTCAGAAATAAGACTCAGTGATGAGGTTACTGAAGTGAGGGGGTAACATCAGAAGGCTTATTTCTGCCTTAGAATCATGAGATTCCAATGAGAACAGGTATGAAAAGACTCTAACCCTGGTGCACAATGCAAGCCTTTCAGTTTTGGAAAGTAGTCTCAGATACATGCCACCCCTGGGAAGGACACACACTAATTATTATTTCCAACATTGTACATGTCTGGTACCCCACCCCCCAATTTGAATGCTGTTCTCCAAACTACAGCCAAAAGGTAGGTAAGGAACATGGAAGGTACATTTTGCCTGTAATGGCTCCAACTCACAAAGTAGTTATCAGACTGACAGTATGGGGGGTGAACCAGCACCTGGCTTGAGGGAGGCTGTCCTGCTTCTTGCCCAAAGTGCTTATGAGCTATAGACGGGACAGGTGAGTGGCTCAGCTTCTGAGAAACAGCAGAGCCTCAGCTCTCACGGCAAGACCAGGCTGCCGGGAGGGGCAGATGGGCGCACACTGACACACAGCATGAACTCCAAGGGCCAGGGTCGTGGGACACAGTAACATCCACTTGTGTATTGGCCAAAACCTTCCTCTGTGGGTGGTATCCTTGACCTCTGACCCCCACTCTAATCTGAGCAGAGCTGGGTTATGCTGAGGTGAGAACTGGTTTCTGAGTTAAGTCAGCACTGGTGAGCTTTCCAGGAGATGATCCAACTTGGCTCCTGTCCACAGACCTAAGGGGCTTCACTGTTGCCCCAGCTTAACTATAGGGAAGCTAGTGGAGCACGTGTGTGCCCCTCTGAAAATGTAAACTGTGCACTTAAAAGTGTGCATTTGGGTCAGCATGCTGGCTCACACCTATAACCCCAGCACTCTGGGAGGCTGAGGCAGGAGGATGATCTGAGCCCAGGAGTTAGAGACCAGACTGAGAAACACAGCAAGACCCTGTCTCTGCAAAAAATACAAAAATTAGCTGAATATAAAGTGGTGCCTGTAATCTACCAGTTACTCGTGAAGCTGAGGGAGGAGGATCACCTGGGCCCAGGAAATGAAGGTTGCTGTGAGTTATGTTATCACTGCACAGGCAATGAAGTGACACTGTCTCAAAAATTGCTGTTTTGAGGGGAAGTGGGAGGGGGATGGGAGTCATGGTGTATGGACACCTCTGGGGGGGGACACAATTGTAAGAGGGACTTTTATCTAATAAATGCAATCGGGGTAACCTAATTCATTGTATCCTCAATGCATCCCAAACAATAAGAAACAATAAGAAAAAAAAAGAGAGGAACCTATATATATATTTAAAAATTTTTTTTGTTTGTTTGAAAAGTATGTGTTTGGGCTGGGCATGGAGGCTCAAGCCTGTAATCCCAGAACTTTCGGAGGGTAAGGTGGGAGGATCCCTAGAGGCCAGGAGTTCAAAACTGGCCTGGCCAACATAATGAGACCACATCTATATGAGAAAAGGAAACTGAGCTGGTCATGGCAGAGGACACCTGCAGTCCTCCCTACCCTGGAGGCTGAGGAGAAGAATCACTTTGCCTGATCCTGGGAGCTGGGGTGCAGTGAGTGTGATAATGTCACTGCACTCCAGTCTGGGAAACACGGCGAGACTGTCTCAAAAATAAGTAAATAAATAAGATAATAAAGGCAGAGTGGGTGGTGGTAGGAGTGGGGAAAACCTCATTCAGAAAAATCACGGAGAAGTGAGCTAAGCATGGCCCTACAGTTAGTTACTAACTGGGGGACACCGAGGCTGAAGTACAGGATAGAAGCACATCTTTCTGGGGAGCACCCTCGGATGGCTCCTACGCCACTGAGTCCAACACACACAGCAGAGCAGCACACATTGGGGGTGGGGGGCAGCGTGCCCCAGGAGTCCCCTTACCTCCTGGTCATCAAACTCGCAGTACTGTAAGTCCCACGCTGCCGACACTGTCCTCACGCAAGCGTAGGTGTTGTTGTAAGCATCTTCACACACACAGTCTGGGAAGCATTGCTGTGGGGCATTCATGGAGTTAACTGAGGACCGTCTCCAGTGACAGACACCCAGCTGCCTGCAGAGCCACTGATGCGGCTCTTACCAGACATGCAGTTCAGCAGAAATCAAAAAACCTTCCACAGAGAAGCCAGTCAATCAAAACCCAAGATGAGCCTGCTCTCCTGAGGCTGACCTGACAGGGCGTATGAGCTGGTTCCTGTGCAGTGTGGTGCCATCCTCGTCTGCTGAGCTGCCGGGGACCGTACTGAGCACTGGGGAAAGGTATGGGCACCCGAATGAGCTGATTCTAAGGACCATTAGGAACGGTCATTGTTAAAGTCTGACGTGAGCTCTGCAGAATGGATGGCAGGTTGAGTTATTTATGGATGTTCTTATGACCAGATCGGACCAAACTCAAGGCATCTCTTCTTATAGCCCACAGATCTGTTATACCCTTCTCGGTTGGTTCTTTCCTGTGTTTTAACACCTTGGTGTTCTGCTTCCACTTGGAGGTGACTCTCCTGTTTCCCACTCTCCAAGCAAGGCTGACGTGGCTGTGAGCACCCTTGTGGCCTGCTGGGCAGCCACTAATACACAGCACTCAAGATGGCATCGTTACAGGTGGGACCCTACTTGTCGGAAACCCTGGGACATCCCTAATAAAAAATGGGAGGATTAAGAAGACAGGCAAGACTGGAAGGTCAGGACACGGACAGATGTGCCCGCACGTACATGAAGGGAAGAATTCTGGGGCACGTTCAGACTGCAGGCCAGCAGCGTGTCCAGGATCCATCCACTAACCTCCCAGGAAAGGGACAGAGGACTCAAACTAAAGCTGTGCCTTGCTGTGCTGTCAGTGAGGTGGTGTGTTGAGGCGAGCCGGGCTGGTACTCACAGAGACGCCAGGACTCAGGAGAGGGCACGTCGGGTCTGTGACGTTGCGGCCTTCCCCTTGGTACTCCACCAGGACGTCTGACCTCCAGGTCACGTTACTGGCACCTCTCTAGAGACAAGAGCAAAGGAGGCTCATGTGAGGCACACTACTCTCCTGCCACAGGGACCTGCAGGGACTAAGTGGCTGTGCATCCAGTGTAGGGAATGACAGGGATGGGTGCACGTAAGGCCACCGACCACCACATGGTGTTCATGTGCAGTGAGTGTCTGACAGCTCTTTCCCAGACTGCTTTGAGCATCTGACAGCTCTTTCCCAGAAAGCTCTCTGAGCGTCTGACAGCTCTTTCCCAGAATGCTCTGCAAGCGTCTGACAGCTCTTTCCCAGACTGCTCCGCGAGGCATGTCAGGAACGGAAGCTGATAGAACATCTGAGCACAAGTCAGTCACAACTCGAGGTGCTGGAGTCAGGATTAGATGAACAGCACTGTTCCTGTGTCCTGCATAGGACTGTTCTAAGGACCTTATAACCTGACACACACAAGACAATAAAGAAATATCAAACAGGGCTGGTGTGCTAAGGGTTCTAACAGGCTCAGAGCCACCCAGCAGTCAGAAGGCAGGCACGATGCTCATTACTCCTCCGTGCACTAGGGCTGTGGAAGGAAGGAAGCAGCAGCATTTGAAATGGGAACGTGCACCTCAAATGGTGCAAGGAGGGAGAATTGAGAAGATCAAGGTTTGGATCAAAAGAACACGGGCCCAGGTGCAGTGGCTCATACCTGTAATCCCAGCACTTGGGGAGGCCTGATATGGGCAGATTACTTGAGGCCAAGAGTTCGAGACCAGCCTGGACAACACAGTGAACCCCCCCCCCCATCTTGACAAAAGAAAAAAAAAGTTAGCCAGGTGTGTCAGGGCTTTCCTGTAGTCCCAGCTACTCTGGAGGCTGAGGTGGGAGGACTGCTTGAGTTCAGGAATTAGAGGTTGAAGTGACTGTGCTGCTGTCACTCCGTATCAGATGAAAGAGCAAGGCTTTGTCTCTGAAAAAATATCTTCAGGAAAAAAAAACAAGCCATGAAGGTAGGTTGGAAGCAGAATGTTAGGCGGCTTCCTGTAATGCAGCTTTCACATGAGGAAGCCGTGCCATCAGGGCAGAGCCACTGGCAACATATGGAAAAGGCCCTTTTAACATCAGGCTGCACCGTCTGTTCTGTAAGGAGCAGTGAGAGGAAGCAGCCGGAGACCTCAGGCGGAGAAGGACCACAGTCAAGGCTGTATTTTAGAAAATTCAGCCCAGCAGCAGATGCTGGAGGTGGAACGGAGATAGGAGAGACAGTCAGACATAGTGAGAAGGGCCCTAAAATGGTGTGCGGCCTTCATGTTCACACTTAGTTGGGAGCGTGCCTGGGATGCACCATCTCAAGCCCTGCTCTGGCCTAATAGACCTTGGTTAGTGACACACACAGATCCGAGAAGTGCAGCTCTACAGAGAAGCACAGCCGGCACCCAAGAAACTTGTCATAGACACAGGTTCTGAGCTCCCACAGGGTGGGGAACAGCCTAGGCTGCAGGGAGTCCCACACCTTTTCTGGTGAGTGCAAGCTAGAGAACCCTGACTCCAGTACACACTTAACCTGGCCCCAGCCCCCAGAAGAGGGAGTCTGAGATGGGAACTACTTCCCAACTGCTGTCCCATGATGGGCCTGAGCATTCTCTGCAACTTGAGGTCTCAGAAATCCCAAGGCGCTACAGACTCCCAGAGTTCCTGCCACCAACTCCTGCTGTGCTGGTTCATCCGTCAGACCTGAGTGAACTCTAGCCCCTCCCTCGAGTGTCGGACTGTCCGGGGAGGGGAGAGTAGCTGGGGAGTCCAGATGGTGGGCCTTGGATCTGCTGCATGTTAAATCACCAGGGGAGTTCAAAATATCCCACAGACCAGGTTCCATTTTATGCCATTAAGTCAGAATCTCTAGTGGTGGGACCCAGGCATTAGCACTTCAGTTTCCTGAGTGACTCTAATGTGTGATCATGTTTGAGACCTGCAGTCCAGAAGAGTAGTTTCTATAAAAGGCCAGAGGTATATACTCAGGCCTGTGGCCAAACGGTCTGTCTCACATCCCAGCCCTGCTGTTGTGTGGCAGGAAAGCCACTGTGGGCGATGTGGGAGTGGGTGAGTAGGCCACACTCTAACACAACTTCATTCACAGAGTCAGGTGTGGTTCACCGTGGGCGATGCGGGAGTGGGTGAGTAGGCCTCACTCTAACACGACTTCATTCACAGAGTCAGGGGTGGTCCACCATGGGCGATGCGGGAGTGGGTGAGTAAGCCATGCTCTCTCTAACACGACTTCATTCACAGAGTCAGGTGTGGTCCACCATGGGCGATGCGGGAGTGGGTGAGTAGGCCATGCTCTCTCTAAC